GGCCATTCGATATTCAGCTTGGCCACGGCACGAGTTACCACCTCCAAAAGCTCCTCATACTGGGGCGACTGAGGGAGCGATTCCTCATCGACGCCCATCACATCAACCTCCTCGGAGGAAGAAAGGCGGAGCGCCAAGCTCGCTCACCAGGATAGCGAGCTCGGCGCTCCGCCTTTCTTCCTCCGAGGAGGTTGATGTGATGTGACACTGGATCTGGCGGGTGAGGAAGAAGATAGGGACTCGCCCCTCTCCATTCCCTCCGCCAGTTCCAGCTGCGAACCCCACGAGCGTATTCGCCGCTCCGCCTCGGCGGAAGCGGGACCCGCACCGCAACTGACACACACACAGAGCGCTTGCTGAATGACAAAAAGCTGACGCTGGTCTCACCGCAAGTGCTTTTATAGCTTCCTGGTCATTACGTCACCCGCCGACGTCTAGCCCATCTATTGGTCTGATTACACACAAGGGCGTTCCCCTAACGTTTCCGACGCAGCTCGAGTTCCTGAAGAGGAACTTGAAATCGAATCATATGACCCCTTTAAAATAGCTGGGCTAAGATATATAACAATTTTTATGACTGCAGAAATATGTTAATTCAGTACTCACCTTATCCCACCGGTCACAATTGTGACCGACCATAAAACACAATTTTTCACACACTTTTCCAACAGAAAATCAAAAAAATAATTATTGATTATTTCAAAGGGTTACTAATGACACATCATTTGGATATTTTCATGTCTGGGAAAAATTTGGGATTAAACGGGTTAAGCAACGATATCTTGCATTACGGATGAACTAGTGATTTGTGAGCAGACTACAGTAAGAAACGTGCGTGATTGTCAATAATCCACGTCCATCTATTTCCATACACAACTGGATTAATGTTTACTGGCCTCTAGTGGTCAAATGACGCTACTTCAAGTCATGTCTTTCTATTGTTATTATAAATTATACTGCATATAACTATATTGCAAACGTTTAAAAAAATACGTTACACGCTTAAGGTATAAAAAGGGTAAAGTTTGAAAACAACAATGACGCGATTGTAAATTTGCACAATCAATTGATCCGATTGGTCCTCATTCTTGCATTTATTTGCACACTGAATTGTGATTGGCCTTTTTTTTTTACTTTTTAATGTTCAGAAAATTTTCATAAGGTGAAACAAAATATTACATACGTTTTTTTTTTGTCAGTTTCTTTTATGGCAACTCTTGTTAACCAACAACCCCTACTTATTCTTCAAATTCAGTTTTATACCCTGATTTGTGTGGTTTTGATTTTTAAACAAAAATTAATAAAAAATGGACAAAGTTTATACAATTAAAAATGTTTAAATATACAGTTGAGCAGGTCAAATCACTTTTTTATTATTATTATTAAAATTTTTAAACTCCCATGTTTACATTTTTATATTTGCCAAGCTTTAAAATATTTTATCAGGTAGAAATTGTGAATAAAAAAAATACTGAAAAAAATCACCATGCTTAAGCCTTATCCAGTAAATCACGAACGATTGGACAAGTAATGTATATTAATTGGTTAAAAAAGATGAAATTAATTATCAGGTATCCACTGCTAGATAGTAAGTTATTAGGAAATGGTATTTTCATCCTTTAGCACAAAAGACCAGAGAAAACAAGTCTTTAATAAACATAAATCTAACATAAATTCAAGAATGGCACAAAACAATAATGTGTTTTAACAAGACTTTAAAAACCGCAATACAGCATCACATTTTTCAGTGCTATTATTGGTTCAATACAGATACACAAGCTATAATAAAACGTAACACGCTGACAACATTTAAGTGAAACAGCATTTACTGTCATTTTTTCCCCAATCTGAATAAAGTCTTATACAGCAATATCTTACATACATCACCCATATTTGTGGAGATTCACAGTACTTTTTATATCAATCAGAGGTGTACCTTAAATGCACACAATGGCTTAAATATACTTTATGCGATATCCTGCTTAGTGTAATATGTATATTGATCTACAATGAAAAGTAAACGAAGAATAGTAAATCCCTGATCCTCATTTAAAGATGATCATTCAACACAAGGCACTTTTGGAGTGTGAAGACAAAACATGGTATTTGTCCCTTATTAGAAGGCTTAGCTCCTAGAAGTCAAAAGAACATGATCTTAGCAGAATAAAAGTGTGAAAATCACAAAACCATAATGATCCATCATCCATGATCCATGTTCTTCTCTGTCTAGTCATTATTGCCGATATACAATCAGTTAAATTTTTTTTTGGTTTCAATTCCACTTTAAGTTGCTCAGGTAATTATGTGTGTTCATGTGGTCCAAATAGTAAAAAAAAAACTACATAAAGTCATTTTCACTGAACGGACTTAAGGATTTTTTTTTTTCTCAATGGCTTTGAAGGAGACACAATGATGTCATCCGAGTCGTCCGAGTCGATGGTCTTTGGAATTTCATTGCCTGGTTGATGTTGGTGGATCTTCAGGTCTGCTTAATAACAACAAAATCATACATTTTATTACATTAAATAGATTAATGATTATACTGTATGCATAATGGTAGTTTATCAGAGATTATTTAAAGATATACTGTCTTAGACTCTACCTTTCAAAAGTTTTGGAATCAATAAGACTTCTCTTTTGCTTTCCAAGGCTGCAATTGCTTGATCAAAAATACAGCAAAAACAGCAATATTGTGAAATATTATTACTATTTAAAACAACATTTTTGTATTTTAATATATTGTAAAATGTAACTGTGATAAAGCTGAATTTCAGCATCATTACTCCCGTCTTCAGTGTCACATGATCCTTCAGAAATTATTTGAATATGCTGATTTGCTGCTCAAGTAATATTTCTTATTATTAACAATGTTGAAAACAGTTGTGCTGCTTAATATTATATTTGAAAACCATGATATATTTTTCAGGATTCTGTGATGAACCAAGTACAAAAGAACAGCATTTATTTAAAACAGAAATCTTTTCTAACATTATAAATGTCTTTCTTTTGGCCAATTTAATGCATCCTTCCAAAACAGAAAAAAAAAATTATTACTGAAACTAAATTTTAGGTAGTGTAATAGGAATGAGTTACAGATATCCTGTATTCTAACCTGGTATTGATCTCTTGTCATGTAGCTTATCATTGTAAGCAGGATTTAATTCCTCTGCAGTCTCCTCGCTATTATTCTCAGTTACACCTAGAAGAATATAAGGAAAAGCATCCACTACAAGTCACAGTGGTTTTAAAGAGAAGTCAGTACAAGACATCATAAGGACGGCCAGGTCTGAGTCTTTGGTTTTAAACCTGAAAACCAACAGTCTTAACGGTCCTAGATTAACAAACAGGAAAATTAGCAGTATGAGGTCATGTTGTTTTCAACAAGAAATGATTAAAGATGAATAATCACCTGAGGTTTGCGTTTTGTTAGTAAACATGGCTTGTGAGGAGCCTCTGGGCAGCAGTGGAGGGGTGGAGAGATACAGCTTTTTCTGATGTTTGGAAGATACAGACTGTGTCACTGCAGACACCCTGTAATGTGAAGTCAACATCGGGCTGTAAGGAGACCACCTGGCCATGCATGCAACCATATTTGTGACTGCATACATGCATGCTCCAAACAGAACAATCATCTGTGCAAGGTTTATTTTTTTGAATGCAACACACATAATATAAATATGCAATTATATAAATATGGAAAAGTGGAAAAATTATTCATTGTGTAGTGTATGTAGTATTTGAGTGTACAATGTAGTAATTTAGTGTATACACTATCTATATCACCTGTCCATCGTCAGAGTACTGCGTTTGAGATGAGCCCTAAAGACAGACTGCAGCAGAGTCACTTCCTCTTCCTGTACAGCCTGAGTGTTCATACCTGATTGGCTCTGAGACACATAGTGAAAAGAGTTGAGATTTTTTTTTGTCCATTTCATAAAGTACTGTAATCCTTGCAATGGAATTGAGAAACTTTCCTGTCAGGAGGGTTAAGCACAAGGAATTATTATTTTTGGTCCATAATATGTACCAATAATTCCATGTAACATCATATTTAAAAAAATTTGTTTACAATATATAATATACACTACCGTACGATATAAAATATCAGTTTTCTATTTTAATATATTTTAAAATGTAGTTTACTCCTCTGATGGCAAAGCTGAATTTTCAACATCATTACTCCAGTCTTCAGTGTCACATGGCCTTTCAGAAATCATTCTAATATGCTGATTTAGTGCTCAATAAACATTCATTATTATTATTATCAATTTTAAAAACAGTTGTGCTACTTAATATTTTATGGAAACCATGATACTTTTTTTTTTAATAGAATAGAATGTTCAAAAGAACATTTATTTGAAAAAAAATTATACAGTATATAAATATATGTATATATATATTGTAAAGGAATGCAGCTGATAGGATTTGACTTAAGCAGAGCAACAACATATTATGCTAATTAAAAAATATATGTATAATAAAACATCCCATCAAAAGGTCACAAGTAGTTACCATGGCACCAGGGACAGTTCTTGGGTCTGCTTGACTCTGTCCATCTAACTGCCTCTGCCTAATTAGATGCCCTCTGAGACAGGACTGTAAAAGAACTAGATCCTAAGAGACGGAGTAGAAGAATAAGGAGGACATGAATAATCTACATTCACTGTGGTTGTACAGTAAGTGTCGATGTGTTGTACCAACCCGTGTTCGGTGGGAGCGCCAGTGTGTCTGGATGATCTTAGCTGCTCTGTTCTTCTCTATCGGCACGACTTCTGATGATGACAATGGTTCTGTGAGTGTTAATGACAAAGAACCGTCCCGAACCTGTGAGATGAGAAATGAGTTGCTGTCTGCACTTGAATGAACTGTGTACATTGTTAAAGAAAGATTTTGAAAGTATTACCTGACTTGGATCTTGTACTAATCTGAGTTTTCTCTCCTCCTCTAGTTTCGCTTTCAAACAGCTGATTTCTATGGTCAGTGCGCCCATCTCCTGCCTGTAAAAAAAGCATGACATCTAAACTGACTTTACTTACTTTCTTAATACATTTCTATGTTCATATTTATCATGATTCACCAATGCATGGTATTCTAGAAAAACAGAAAAAAGTTTGTTTTCATAATCTTTTATCAAAATGTAATTAATTTTTATGCCTTTGCAATTACTTTTCTTTTCTGCACACATAACCAAGGTTGTTCACTCAGAAAAATGTCAAAGAAATGTTACAGATATAAAAGAATGTTTAATAAACTCTTCCAACAATGACAACGGTAAATAATTTCTCTAAAGGAGCACAAATGATTTCAATAAAGAAATAACTATTTGGAAAAGAGCTTTGGAAAATTAAATCAGGGTTTAATATGTTTTGTCCCACATAACTGTAACATCACATTTAAGATTTAGTCATGTGAGAAGTCATGTGGTGTAACCAAGCGGAAACCTTCAGGTCCCTCTGGTGAAGCCAACACGGAAGTGACTAAAACTGCAATTCATCGACTGGCCGCTAGAGGGAAAGGGAGTCAGTCCCATAGACTCCCCATGTTAAAATGCCCAACTTTACAGCAGAAAAAAATGTTTACAGCCTGGTACAAAAAATGATTTTAGTCTATATAGCTAATTTTGCCCTTCATGACAACTGTGAGGGGGGTGAATTTTTTTATAACTCATCCGTTTAAATTATATTAAGAGCTGATCCGTGCTGGTCGCTGAGGGAATACAACAGTATGGTGAGGGGCGTAACATTTCCGTCTCACGCTTGAGGTATTTGGCCAATCACAATGCACTGGATAGCTGGCCAATCACAGCACACCTCGCTTTTTCAGACCGATGAGCTTTGTAAAAATCGACGCGTTTCAAAAAGGCGGGGCATAGAGGAGAAACAATAATGTACAGTATGTGGAAAATAATGTGTTTTTTTTTTACTTTAAACCGCATAAACACATTTCATTACACCAAATACACAAAATAATGTTCTTTTTAGCAGCATCATATGACCCCTTTAAGCCTTAAAGTTCTGCATAATTAAGGGCGTGGCCACTTGAGTGACAGGTGGATTGCCACTGCTGTCACCGGTGTCGAGCTAGGTGGGCGTGGTTTCAGCAACTAGCTCCCGCCTCTTTGCCCATTTTCGATTATCCGGGAGTGACGCGCGGTGACGCGCTGCCAAGATGGCGACAACGGCCTCCGCCCACTTTGAGCTTCAAAACCACTCTTCAGAAACCTACGGGTGACGTCACGGACACTACGTCCATGTTTTTATACAGTCTATGGGTGTAACTATAAGCATCACCACTATATAGTTTTAATTAATGGATGCCTTCATTATTTTTATTACAAACCTATGTGTTTGCATCAGTCTCTCATGCTCTCTGATTTGTTCCTTCAGCATGTTTTCGACCTCTTTCAGACTCTTATCCTTCTCAGCAGACAACTGCTTTATCTCCTCACTGATAAGACAAGACAAATATTTTCAATTAGAACTGCTTTTAAATAGGTTGAACATTTGAGAAAATTTCATGAATAAGAAATCAGAAATTTCTAAGAAAATATCAGAAATATTTCTGAATCTATTTCAAATAAATTATTCATCAGATCACAGTTTCTACAAAAATATTAAGCAGCACAACTTTTGTTTTTACTTTAGTTATAATATAAAAATGTTTCTTGAACACCAAATCAGCATATTAGAGTGGTTTCTGAAGGATCATGTGATATTTTGAGTACACTCACTCTTTCTGGGTTAGTTTTCCCTCTAGTTCCTTTTTCTCTTCTTCAAGTTTCTTAACTGTTTCCCTCAAATGTGCATCATTCTCTGTAATCACAGATGGCTCCATCTCTGTGTTGACAGAATCACTCTGATTGGCCGATTCTGACTGAGTGCCTTTATTGTCTGGGCTCTTCAGTGAGTCTGATGCTTTGGTGATCTGAAGATTCTTCATCTGCTCGACTCTCTGAAAAAATGAGACAAATAAACTACATTCACATGTACAGTCTACAAGTAATGTTTAATGTAACACATATGCATACACATACATACATGCATGTACATGTATATTTGTATATACCGAAATACATATATATATATATATATATATATATATAAAAAAACCTTTTCAAGCTCCAGGATTCGTCGCACAAGTCTCTGTTTACTCCAATCCATATAACCTGAAAACATAAAAATACGATACATCATATGACTGAATTCAGTCTTTGGTGCAGGAAATACTAAATATTTTGTTTAAACTTATTTTTTAGTACATTTAAGCTAGGAAACTAGCTGGGTGGTTGGCTAAACCAGTTAAACACCAAATTAGCCAGGTCAGGAGACCAGCTAAGTAAGACCAGTTAACCATCTTAGGCTGGTTTAAGCGAGTTTTTTCAGCAGCTGTCCATAATAAATGACGTTTGCTGAAATAGTTTTTTCCAGTTCTACTGTAGATGTAAGTTAAGATGTGCTTTTGTAAATGTAAGTACCCTTAGCCCGGCACGCAGGGCTCTCCATCATGTTCATCTCTTCCTGTGTCAATTCTTTTTTGAGCTCCTGGTTCTCGTTCTCCAGGTGTTGAACAGTGTTTGTGAGTTTCAGAACCGTTGCACTAAGGGTCTTGTTTTGCCGCCTGATGTTTTTGCTCTCTGCCTTATTACTGGACAGAGAAAAAGAGAGTGAGAGAAAGACTAAATAAAAACATCAAATTACAAGTAAAATGAACAATGTTTGTACCTTCTTTCAGTCGACTCTAAAAGTGCTCTCAATCTTTGAACCTAAGAATGAAGAACATATTATTACCCGAAATAATACAAAAAAAAAGTTATAATGAAATACATTTCGTTTTATATAAAGTCACATATGATACCTCTTCAAAGTAGGTTTCTACCGTGATCTTCATTTCCTGCATGTTGGTGGTTTTGAGGTCACTCTGAAGCTGACTGTAATGGCAAACACACATTCATCAGTTTAGATTCAACATACACTGGGGTCCAAATCTCTAGTTTTTATCGACATAAAAACTGACAAAACAAGTGAAAATTTAAATGGAAAATTGATGACTTTCACAAGAATGTCATGAGAAGTTAATTATCCAGCCTTCAATGGAAGCAAAAATATTTGAAAGCCTGTACAAAGAAGTTTACAATTTTGCTTATTTCATTGGTGAATTAGTGCTATTTTTTAAATTGACAATTTAAAAATCCAAAAATTTCCTATGAATTTTATTTTCAGGTTAAATTAAATAATTTTAATATCTATTAAGATTTTTGCACTCTTAGCCTGCAACTCTTATGCTGAAGTGCTGTGACGTTTATTCATGCTGCATTGATTCACCATAACCTGATTAATTTCATGGCAGCACAATATAAATGAAGCTGGCATCAGACCTTAAGGCATTCTCTTTTTCTTTGTACTGCTGCTCCAATCGTACAATCCTCTGTTTCAGTCCGTTAATGATCTGGTGTGTTCAAAAAGAGAGAAATACATTTTTCATTTTATATCATTCATCAAATTAAGAATCTCTGATCTGATGAAATGTGATTGTGAGGGTTTGTGAGATGTTTATAATGGCATACTCACCGATCTAGGATCAGTCTTTCTGTCCACTAAACCTCTAGCATGCTCTGGGTCCTATATGATCAACACAAAAATAATTATTTAGCAATGAACAGTTTTTAGAAAAATAAGCTCTGAGAGAACCGCTTTAATTTTCACTACGTTCAAACTTTGTTTATGCTCACAAAGGCTGCAGTAAAAAAAAATACAGTAATAACAGTAAAAACTTTAATGTGAAATATTATTCCAATTGAAATTAACTAGTTTCTATACATTTTAAAACATAATTCATTCCTTTGATGGTGACGCTGAATTTTCAGCATCATTACTTCAGTGTCACATGATCCTTCAGAAATTGTTCTTATATGCTGATCTGCAGCTCAAAAAATATGTTGTCTTATCACAGTTTTTTTTTGTGGAAACTGTGAAACATTTTTCAGGATTCTTTGATAAATAGAAGTAGAAATAGAAATAGATTTTTTTTGTAACAACCTAAAAGTCTTTATTTGTCACGTTGCCGCTACTGTGAGGAGCACGGAGCGAGGAACGAGGAGACGTGGGGTAAACTTCAAACGAACAGACTTTAATAAACATCAAGGGAACCAGGAACACACACGTAGCGGGGAAAGACGACATTCAATACCAGACAAAGGAACTCTGAGTAGGACTCACTTTAAATACACAGGACTAGAGGAGGGGATGACGAGAAACACCTGGAACTAATGAAACAACATGGGAGAAAACTGGGTCATGGAGCACGTGGCGAGGGAAAACACACACAAAAGAGTCCATGGGCATGACATTATTGTTGCTTTTGATCAATTTAATGCATCCTTGCTAAATAAAAGTATTAATTTCTTTGATATTTTCTTTTAAAATCTGAGCCCAGATTTTTGAACGACTGTGTACGTCTGATAATGTTCCACCCTGTAAATAATGCTTTTTAGTCATTTCATGACAATCAAGTTTGCAATTAAAAAAATCATTGTTTTCAGTTACAAAGTGTGAACGCACAATGGCAGCCTGCTTTTGCAGATACATTACAGTGTTGTTTATGCGTGTGGTGTGAAACAGGCCGCATTCACACTCAGCTACTCATTTACACAAAAAGGTGACTTGCTCATCACCTTCGTTGGATCCAACAGCTGCTCGATTTGTCTGTCTTTCTTAGCGTTTTCTTCTTCAAGACGCCGTAGCTTGCCTTTCATCTTGTCCGATTCAGTCTTTTGGGATTGGATGGTCTGAGAAAATTGAGAGCAAACACATGGGTACATGGAATTTCAGTGTGCATAACTCCACTTCAAATAGGAAAGCTACATTCTAGGACGGGAAAGCACATCTTAATAGATAAAACTGTGCAATACTAAAATACATCTTAAGAACCATTTCCTCCACTTGCATTGTAGGTAATATTAGCTCAAAAACCTTGCATAGATATATTTCCTAAAATCCAGCAAAAATAATAGACCATCCAGGAAGATATGGCATACTATTTTTAGCAAATTATAATTTGGGACATAGTAATCCTAACCACTAATCCCTCATACACATATAGGATGGATAGTATGACAGTTGGGATAAAGCCCAATTCGTTGAAAACATGCCGTCTGATGTAATCAAAATTCTAAAAACACATCCTCAAAAACACTTATACGTCATTGAGTGAGTGTGCGAGAGGTGAACTTCACCTTTTTTAGATCAATTATTTCATCATACATTTCCTCCTTCTCTTTGTAGTCGGAGGTCCCTGGAACATAACCTGATAAAGGAATTGCAAATATAACAACATGGAGACAAAAATAAAAATAAAAATCATAATAACTATTATGTGGACAAGTCAGGTTTATATATTGAGTTTTATCTCACCGTTGGATGCAGAGAGGGAATATTTTGGCTTTTTCATTCCTAAGGCCTCCTTCAAGTATTCGGGTGTGCTGGTCATGGAGATGCTGGTCTGTGTGACACTGTAATCCGCTCCTTTTGGAGACTTTGACAATGTCCCTGAAGTAAAGAAAATTGAACCCCGTGAAGCCTCATATAGGAATTCATTTTTTCAAATGGAACGGTTTATTTAAACTTTAGATCAAATATTTTTTTAAATAAAAAAAAAAAAAAGCTTGCATATGTGCTTTTAGGTTTTGTATCATATTTGATATATCAGGCTTTTACTACCCATATATTATTATATAGGAGAATATGGAGCTCACACTTGAGGTGGAAAAAAAAAACATCTAGATTTTATTCAGAGGCCCAAACAGAGCCAAATATCCAATTTGGTGCGGTTGCTGTTGTTTATAAATTTAAGATGAAAATATTGTAATTTAAATGAATGAGATTTTTAAAATAGTATAACAGACTACTAACAGATATTTAAACGCTTTGTTTTCTTATGAAAGCCCTGTAGTTTTACATTGTGGGGGCAAAACATAAATAAAGCAAAACAATGATAGTTGAGAGATGCACAAATAAAAGTTAATCAAAAACCTGATTTACCACATTTTAACATGATTTATGGATGATCATGTACGAATTATCAATGAAAGCAGAGAAGGCATGTATTACCGATTCCGTACAACAGGTTTGTCATTAAAGTTTTGATCATGTTGATAATTTAGGCATTTTTCAAATATGATACAGCACGCTTTATATGGATAAATTACATTTGCTTGTCTTTCAAAATCATATAAGCTATATATTTTGATCCTGAGCTAGTGTTTCTCAGTTACTGATCCAGTATTAAAAGAGCAAAAAGGTTACCTACCTACCTAAATGTGAATTCTGTGATAATCAGCTATTTTGTCTAGTTTTCCAGTAAGTCATATCTTTAAAACTAGATGCAGTTTCTGAGCAGCAAAAATGCAATTTAATCTTGTGCAGATCTGCTGTCTGTTTGGGTCTTATAACGTAAACATATTTAGAATATCTTGTTTGGTAGAAGATACATAATTTAAAATGATAAAATGCAGAATATGGTGTAAAGTGTTAGCCACATTTTATTATTATAATTTTTTTTAAAGGGACAGACCATGTCCATCATTCTGTAAGTGCAGCCAGACGTCCTTCGGTGTACCAGCAGGGGGTCTTTTACAGTTTTGGAGCTGTGTCCCTTTCACCGTCCTCCACGATGCTACCGGAGTTCTCTTCAGATGCAAGCTTGCACTGTTCAGGTATGGTGACCCTTTATTTAAATAAAATGATGTATTATTATAAAGGCATTTTTGCTGTGTATGTAGTTGCATTAAGTACTCTACAATTAAATAAGCAAATACAGCAATTTCCACATTTTTACAATGCTGTGTTAATAGACAGTAATGCACAGAACGGGTGGTAGCATTTGTATTGCAGGCATGAAAACTCAACAGAAGTCTTAAACTTACTAGGAGAAGGAGGTGGTCTGCCTGAAACTTTCTTTTTTCTTAATTTCTGAAAAGAAATCCAACAATCTCAATACCTTTATGAGACAAAGATTCAAAGGTCCAAGAATGAAAGAGCTTCAAAACTAAGGAGACAGACTGGCCAAAAATCTGTAAATAAAGAAATAATTAATTAAAAGTGATCAATCTCACCTTTTCAGTGTCGGACACATAGCTGCTACACAGACTGTCCTCTGCCTTGAAAACAAACAAATGGTATATACATTCAAATAAACAAAAAATACTACCAAGTGATATCAAATGGTAATACTATTAAACTTTAATATAATCTATGCTACTAAATGATGATTATCATATTCATATGATATGGCATTTACATAACTTTCTGTATGAGGTGGTATCCCAAGGCATTACCATAGTCCATCTTCAAAAAAACATGGTATTGGATGGTAATTTTTGTTAGTGTTAAAGTCCAGAACATCTATGAAAACTGTCAATGTACTTACCAGATCCTCTACCTCCTCTTCAGTGACAACTTCTCCGGCTACTACAGACATTATAAATAATTAATTAAAAGTGATCAATCTCACCTTTTCAGTGTCGGACACATAGCTGCTACACAGACTGTCCTCTGCCTTGAAAACAAACAAATGGTATATACATTAAAATAAACAAAAAATACTACCAAGTGATATCAAATGGTAATACTATTAAACTTTAATATAACCTATGCTACTAAAGGATGATTATCATATTCATATGATATGGCATTTACATAACTTTCTGTATGAGGTGGTATCCCAAGGCATTACCATAGTCCATCTTCAAAAAAACATGGTATTGGATGGTAATTTTTGTTAGTGTTAAAGTCCAGAACATCTATGAAAACTGTCAATGTACTTACCAGATCCTCTACCTCCTCTTCAGTGACAACTTCTCCGGCTACTACAGACATTATAGCCTATCTGATGGTCTGTTTTTATTTTATCATCGCCTTTTACAAACAATAGAACCATAATACTTTCTCATTCAGTATGATATAGGCTATTGATGGAGGCACGACCTGTAATGTCCGAGTATTATGATGCAGCAGGAAATCTTAATTATCTCATTTCGAAGATTCGCACCAATCCTAATATAAAACAGCATTAAGGAGCACTGAAATGGGTAAGGGGTGTTAAGAAGTTCCCAAGATGCAGCTGTTTCCTGATGTCGCCGTTAAGAAAAGCAGCAGATTCTACGTCGATATTGTGTGAACGCTATAAAGTCAGCGCAGTAATATTGCTCAGCCTCAGCGTCGTTTCGCGTCTCTCTTCGCTGTACGCGTGTAATGTGCATTATTGTCGTCTAGCAACCGAAAATGTTTAACGTGACAATAGTCAGCGAATGAAAAACGTGCTCATGTGCGTCAGCTCTGCGCAACACTTGCGCACACTGTGATTGAGCGCTCGCCTGTTAACATTTCATTACACCAAATACACAAAATAATGTTCTTTTTAGCAGCATCATATGACCCCTTTAAAACGTTGGCTTTAGTAAATTAGATATGTAATTGCTTAGACTATTTGATTAGACTAAGAAGCAATAGATGCTTTTGTGTCATTTATGTCAAAATGTAGTCTACTTGGAGGAAAAAAAACTAGCTACTCAAAATCTGACATTTCTCTGAATTTACTAGGTATGTGTTTGAGCAAAATGTTTATATTTGTTTTATACTACAAAGGTGTGATAACATTACTTCCAATTTTCAAATAAAAATATTGTCATTTAGAGTTTCTTCTGAAGATAAAACATTGGTATTGTGTTTTAAAAATGAATATAAACGTCTAAAAACATATTTTATGTTATTTTGACCAATTGTCATTTCATGCTCCAAATGACATTTTATTTAAAAATGTAAAAAAAAAATGTCATCAGTTGTTTACAGAATAAAACAAAAATTACATTCTACTCAAGCACATAACTATAAAATTTTAAATCCAGAGAAATTGAGAATTTATATATAAACACACACACACACACACACACACACACACACACACATATATATATATATATATATATATATATAGTCCGGTCATTAAAATAATGTTACAGAAACAGGAAACAGTGAACAGCTGCAGGGGACATAATCCCGCTGTTATATTTTGATATTTAATGGTAACTGTGGAGGAAAAAACAGTATATTTGACCTTGTGTTGGTCATTTAGTACTGCCACATCACATTATGATGATGGACATCTCATAGATGGATTTGGTTTGGGGATTACATAATGTATTAAAAGCCACCTGTTACAATCTCTCCAATAATTGATCTAAAACAATTATTTATTCAAATAAGAGGCTATTCTGTCAGTGAAACTGTAACAGTGGTGTATGAATGTGTGACCTGAGTCACCCTCTCTGCTTGTCTTATCAAGCAGCTCTGTTGCAAAGCTTTTAAAGTCTGTACAAATACCCTAAATCTTTCGCCAGTCCACTCTCATTATTATAACCCAGTTATATAAGCTTCCCAGCTTGCCTTCCAAGAGGCTGTGATGTTTTTTTTTTAAGAGGTCCTATCCTCTTAAGGTGATTAATGGTAATATGTGTGTGTTGAGGGATGCAAAGAGAAGGGGCGGAAAAGAGCAACGTGAGAGAGAGAGAAAGAGAGAGGGAGGGAGAGAGAGAGAGAGAGATGAGACTGTTATCTGATCTGCTGGTGTTGGTCTATACAGTCACAGTCAGACGTTAAGCGTGAAGAGGGCAGTTGAGGTACGAACAAAGGTCTATTGGGGACTGCAAAGTGAAGACAGTTTCCTACACATCAGCAATCTGGTAAGTAAAGAGAAAACAATCTTAAAACCATTTCATTCAAGAAAAACAAACATTATATTTTCATGTGAGCTTGTGCATTTGATGGAGAGAGGAGTTGTACATTCATGTCATAAACTACTAATGAAAAAACGTATTGCTTCTTAGAATTAATGTTTAATTGGAGACTTTTTTTAAATCACAAGCGCAAAGAAATATATTTATATTTCAAGGCATATATTGATTTCACTGCTATGTTCAAGAGAAGACAGGCAGCTGCCTTACTGTATTATATAAGCGCATTAAAAACAATGTTGAATGTGTTTTGTCATAGATATAGCTGTATGTGAATTATAATAGCAATGTGTTGTCTCATATCAGTGTTAAATCAAAACTTGAGGATCACCTGAAATCACCCATTGCCCCAGTGACAAGTTAACAAATCCTATTTTCACAAAGAGCTTACAGACCCTAATTACACACCGAGATGTGAGAGACAGAGATTTTATTTACATTCAAGACACCTATGTAGAGTAAACATATCATTTAGAAATACAACAAATAGAAACAAATCATGTTAAGAGATGCTGAATGACAAAATCACAACTCATGCTTTTGCATGTATCTGTCAGCAAGTCTTGTGCACAATAATTAAACCATCTCACTCTTATTTATACACACACACAAAAGAAATAAATAAAATGGCCATGGTTGCTCATTTCAAGCATAGCTGATGTGAAATAGGTCACTTTGTTCTACAGAAGATTAAAACGCTTCAGTAAAACCATATTGGGGATGGTTCTAAATCCATCACAATATTCCCTCTATGTTTTTAGTGATTTGCATGAGCATTATATAATACAAAATGGATATTGAATTTTCAATTAATCAACCACAGTTATCGAAAATGGGAAATCATCCTCTAATGTCCAGAGTAAAAATAACTGACTATAGCAAATAAGAGATAGCATATATACACATATTAAAAATGTAATTTATTCATTCGGTGTCACATGATCCTTCAGAAATCTTTATCACTGTTGCAAATGGTTGTGCAGTTTAATATTTTTGTGGAAACTGTGATGTATTTTTTTCAGGATTCTTTGATGAATAGAAAGTTCAAAAGAACAGCAATTATTTGAAATAGAAATCTTTTGGAACATTATACATGTATTTACTGTCATTTTTGCTCAAGTTAATGCTACTTTTAAATGATACCAAATATATTTAATAAAGCGATTCAAATGCATACATTAGTGTTCTGTGTAAGTTAATATTCGACTAATTGCATGCAACAAAGGCAACTTGGGTTGAGCAATATGAACCTCAAGAAATTATGCCATTCAAGTTTTCATAGAGCTTTTCATCAATTTGACCCTCATTAAAGTCAATTAATAATTTGCACACTGTTAATTGGAGGTTTTGTGCATTTGCTGTCAGGTGCAAAAAATGCATCTGGGTCAGCAGAACCCCGTGGTGGATGGCATATCCTTAAAGGAGCTGGGGGACAGTGTGCTGGTGGAGATAGAGCCTCGAAGGAAAGGACTGCCATTTCTCAAACATGTGGAGTACCGTATTGTTAGCAAGGTTTGTAAACTCAAACTCAGTTTGTATTTATAATACTTAAAATCACACATTTTTAGCTCCCTCTCTCTATATACACAAACACACACACACATAAATATGTATGTACAGTATATATAGATAGCATCATTATCTCTCCATTTTCATTTATCCTTAAAAATTCCTACAGAATGCTACAATTCCTAAATGCCATTCTGTATTCCCTAAACAATATTAACTACTCCATTCCTTTTACATAGTGTTTCCAGATCCCGGTTCAGCGTAGGTACAGTGATTTTGAGGTGTTCCATGGTCTGCTGCTGCAAAAGTTCATCTACAGGATGGTCCCGCCTCTGCCCCCCAAACGCATCCTTAAAGGCGGTGAGATTTGAACAAACTCTCTGCAAATTACTTTATTTCTTAAATCTACATTTATGTAACTAAAACTCTGTTTTTTCTCTCTCTCTCTCTCTCACTCATTCTCAGTTTTGAACTCAATATCAGACCGAGAGTTTAATGATAGTCGCCGCCGTGGTCTACAAAGGTTCATGGCGTTGGTGATTAGACATCCAGTCCTAGCAGGAGATGAGTTGGTCAGCATCTTTCTGTCAGCAAGCAGCGCTTAAGTCCTGCAAACCAGTCGATGGCAGTAAAATTAATTATTATTTTGCCCAAACATAATAGTTGTAGTTTGTTTCAAAGTTGAATAAAATAGGGGTTCATCACATTGCATCCTTTTTCATGTCACAGGATGTTCAAAACATGCTGCGTGATGCGTATAAAAAGATAGGTGATGAGTTTCTGACCTCCCAAATGGCCTTGCACGGCAAGGTAGGTAAAAGCTAACAAACACATGACATTAAAATACCATATGCTTTGAAAAACCATGTAAATGTCATAGTATTGGTATATATATATCAAAGAACCACTGTATCAGTGAATCACCGCAGTACCTTTTAAAAGTAAACTAACACGCAAAATGAACATTGCATGTCATTTCTAAGGTGTACCTACCTGAGGACATACAGACCCACGCTGCCACTAATCGAGAGGTCATTGCAAATATCCACAGCAGTTTCAACAAACTCAGAGATGTAGCTGAGCGGATGGCTCAGCGCTCACGGGAAAACTCAACCGATCTGCTTATGTTTGGCAAAGACCTGAGGTGAGCACTTCAGAATTCATCATTAATTATAAAATATATCAAATATACCATATAATCAAATATAACCATGTGTGTTTGTGTACACACACACACACACAAATTACTGAAATAAATGAACTTTTCCATGACATTCTAATTTATTGAGATGCACCTGTACACACACACAAAATCTGAAAAAATCTATTTTTAATATAAATATAAATCTGTAATAATCAGATGATGAGTGAAACGGAGTGATACATAAAATATCCACAAATGTACATGACTAAACAGTACAATGTGCAAAAGTGTAGCTGCACTTACTGATCTGTTGATATTAGGGTTAACATTAAATTATATTATGAATGGCTTAATATTTGTAATTAAACTATTAAGAGAAGTGTCTATTTTCTATCAATAAGACAATTTTATTTTTTGTGGTTCATGGGGTGGTTTGTAACATTTATCATATGCAATGGCAGTATGATACAATGTTATTTTAGTAATATTAATATTCTATTATGATTATTAATATTTTGAATTCATTTTTTATTTTAAAATTTCGTATATTTGAATTTTATTTAAAGTTTTTGTTATTTTTATTACTTAAAAAAAAATGTCTTTATAGCTTTTATTAATTTCTATTTCCAGTTTTAGTTATTTTCATACTTGAAAATTCAGTTGAACTGAATGAAAATGAGAAATGTTGCTTTGGCAACTAGCTGTGTTTTAAGTTTAAGTGCATATATTTTGTTTTATTTTATTTCAATTAATGGTTAATTTATTGTGTTGTTATTAAGTGACAAAGATGTTTTTTATGGTTTTAGTTTTAAATAATAACCCTGATATGTAATATTGAAAATATGACAGTCTGTGTGGACAATTCCGAGGTTATTACTTGACTCTTCAACAGTGAACTGGGCTCAGACACATCAGACCTGCCAGTGAATGCCACAATGAGCAAAGCATGGAAAACACAGAGGAAGTCACTTGTAGAGCTGTCAGGAGAATTTGATCTTCTTGCCGACAAAGCTGCACACCAGGTATTAAAACATTATCATTATTGAGCATTAGTCTAATCACAAACACCACTACAAAAATGACTGAAATTATGCACATCACTGAACTGTACTGAATGTCTTTAAGCACCTCAATGTTATTAAGACACCCACAATATTATGCCTCTCATTACCATTTCTGGGGACATTTTGCTCTGGTTGAAAGGAATTTAAACGTAATATTTCAAATGCCTTCTTATTCACCAGGGCAGCAGAGAGGAGGATGAGGTGGTGGAGAAACTGAACCTTCTCCTTGAACAGCTGCAGTCGTATAAAGTGAGTACTGTCTGTACAAAACTTTTCATATCAATTTTGTATTAATACAAAATTGTATTTAATGAATGTTACTGGGCCATAATCAGCTGGTAGGTATAAGATGAAGTAATAGTTAGGTCATACATTGTTTTGCATGTAGGATTGAACCGATATCTATGTATGGACTGCCATTTTACACTTTAACAATTCAACTGTAACAACATTCAGATGCTAAAATACTTGGATGTGTATGTGTATAGGACTTGTGTGTTCGTCACGACAGCGGTGTGTTACTAGAGCATCAGAGAGCATTTGAAAAGCGCAGCGGGCCTGTGGCTAAACACTTAAAGTACCAGAACAGCTTTGAGCAGCCAGAGTCTCGACTCACACAGGTAATACACAGCAAATACACCAACATACAAACTATACTTAACCAAGCTAAAGTATACAGGTAGGGGAGACCTGGGGCAATTGTAACATTTTGTAAATTTCATGGGGGTGATTGTAACAGTGTTTGGGGGCAATTGTTACACTGAAAAATAAGTCAGATTAACCCACTGTGTCTCAATTTTTTATTTTTTTTATATTTTTTTTTTTGGTATATGGTTCTAATTCTTTTAGATGTCAGGCATCATATGCATTCAGTCGTGTCTGGGCTCCCAAGTGCGACCCGTAGTGTTGAAACTTCGACACAACTTCTCCGTTCCCGCCATCAGAGAACTAGGGTTACCATACATAACGGAGACGTTTTTGCTGTTAAAGTGCCCCTATTATGGGTAATGAAAGGACTCCCAAACGATTTGCTCAACGATTAATTTTTCCAAACCCCTCCTTTGCGTGAAGCTAATATACGGTGATTGGTCCGATTTGGTCTCATTTCCATTGCAGCGTGCCTGTAACGCCTGATAAAGCAGCGTTTGTGAGCGCAGTGCTGCTTTGTGTACAGCATATTGTATTTATTTTTATTATATTTTTACCGCTCCAAAAGCGGCATCTAGTGGCAAATAATGAATTTGCATTTTCATTCAAAGGACTTTGATTCAGACCAACGCGAAAAGACCAACAAGTGGGCGGGCAATATGCTAATGTGTCATGTTGACGTCAACATGAAACGGCTTGGGATTCGTTTTAAAAACGACTCGTTTTAATGATTCAGAGTCGACTCTTTCTTTTGAGAGACAATAACTTTATACACGGTGCACTTTCAGATTTAAAACTTTGCAGGATATTTTCATTCACTTAGAGCTGTGTTACACACTGCATGAAAGGTAATTTTCAAAAAAAAAAAAACGCAATGTTTTGGGAGTGTGGGAATAATTACACTGAAAAAAGACTTTATCACTAATTTGATTTGAATAGTCTACAAAAAGTCAGAATGACACAATTGTTAATTCATTTAACAATTGTTAATTCATTTATCTCTTATCTTTTAACCAATAAACATGAGATAAATTAAGCAATGGCACACACGCTGTTGTTCCACATATGGCTGAATTCCTTTATATTCAAACAGCACGATTGCGAGTGTGATATTGCTCTTACATTGACAAACATTGACTAACTTACAATTTAGATACAATTTTTCCAGTTACTTTGTCCAGTTCTGCTCTGCCAAAGGGAAGAATTAAAACGAAGTAGAATCAACTGTTCAGCGTCGAGCACACACAGTAGTAGTGGCCTTTTGTTATCGAATGAATCGTGTTTAACGAATCGGTTCAATTAATGATTCAATTGTGGCGAAAGGCGTGCTGGCGTAACAATGTAACCTGCAGAATGCGTCACTGAAAAATCCTCATCACTGACAGGTGAACTGAATATTATTCTATGTCTTCCTACAGCAGGAGAACACGATTATCACAATGGAGATGAGGAGATATTTCTCCTTTTTGTGTCTGCATCAAGAAACCCAGCTGGTCTTCACCTATCTGCCGCTTGTGACTTCAATACTGGGGACATTTGTCCACTCACAAATACAAGGACACAAAGAGGTGCGTTTCTAATAACACACCAACTCTATAAATACTTCAACTGACCATTTTAGCACTATTTACACTGTGGGAATTGTGTCATTTCATTCCTCAGATGGGTGATGTGTGGGGTGACCTTCATCCAAAACTGAAGGATCTATTTGAGAGTGCTAATGCAGCATCCTCTCGCTCTTCTTCTCAAAAACACACATCCAGAGGACAGAAGACCTGTGCCATCATTGGTCCTGCATAACCAGGACAGCAAATATGAGGGAAATTGACAGCCTTTTCTCAGTACCCAATAACTGTGTACTGCTTCATGCCATGTGTTTTCCTTTCTCTTGACTATACATGCTTTAACACCTTTCTTCATGACTTTTCCACAGTGGCCTCAAAACATATTTGAACATACAAAGCACAACTAAACATTTCATTAGATACAAAATTTAAAACGGTATGCTGATAAATGATGCAACTAACTGCATTTTTGTTAACCATTTTTGCACATACTTTTAATCAGGATTATTGTAGTTAACTAAAACATTTTCTTTATCTGAAATAAAATCAATTTGAACTGAAACAGAATAAAATAAATAAAAAAAACTATACAGACATCTTTAAAATGACAAAGCACACAACAATATTACTAAAACTTTACAGAAAATCTATTTAAAAAAATCATAATACTTAAAAAATATTATTCAAAAACTATCATAGTATCTCAGTGATACTAAAATATCTGGTCCCTGCAATATTTGACAACGAAAACATGTCAAAATACATTTTGACTTACTTTCAAAAAACAGATTTTGTGGGGTTATGCTATCATTATTTAAATTAAATAAATAAACTTGTTTTGATATTTTTTTTAAAGCAGTGATATTCAGTTATTTATAATTACATCTTAAGCATCCAAATACATTTTGAGGCCACTGAATATCAATAAAATATAATAATTTAAAAAAATATTGTAGACACCCTTTGAGAGCAATATCTCTTTTCTTTATTTAATTGTCATTCATTTTCCTATTCTTTTAATGTTTGATGCAGTATGTGGTTACATATTTAAATAAATAATCCTGGATCTTCCAAAACCTGTGGTCAGTTCATATATCTCTTTTTTTTCCAGGTAACCCAAAATAATTTTTAATTTTTGCAGGAACTTACATAATATTCAAAGATTACATGTGTTATCCTTAAGATATAAGGCTACAATTTGAGTATGGATGAAAAGGTTAATCAGAAATGACCCGTTTGCAGAAATTCAAAGAAAGACAAACATTATTCTGGAAAAAAAAATGTTTTTCAAGCAAGAAAAGCTGATTTAATGTTGAGAAAGCACCTGACCTTGAAAACTATCACACATGCAGGACAAACAAATGGCACTGTATAATTGAATAATCCTAGATTTAAGGTATGATACAATACCAGACAGTGTTTGTACAGGAGTTTTGTTGGTGTCATTGTTTTAAGTGACAAATCTGTAGTGTATAAAATCGTACATCACGCCATCCAGTTTCTGACATGTTGGCACCAGTTGGCATGCAACTTAAAAAAAAATAGTTCACCCAAAAATGAAAATTTGCTGAAAATTTACTCACCCTCAGGCCATCCAAGATGTAGATGAGTTTGTTTCTTCATCAGAACAGATTTAGGATTACATCACTTGCTCACCAATGGATCCACTGCAGTGAATGGGTGCCATCAGAATAAGAGTTTAAACTGCTGATAAAAACATCACAATAATTCACAAGTAATCCACACGACTATCAACAAGTCTATTCATTGGTTGAGCCACTACAAAAGTACTTTTAATTCATTTAAAATAGATTTTTTTTCCAAGTTAAATGATTGTAATTATCATTATATAGAATAATTGAATCATAGATGTGACCACAGTGGAGAAAACAGTTAAAAGGCAGTGTAATCTTCAAAAATACAAGGATTAAAAACAAACTTTCTTGTGAGTTTTTATTGAGAATGAAGAGTACATTTTAATGGCCATGTCAACTCATAATTGTATTGTCAACCAAAGTGAGTGCTCTTCCTCTTGTAAAACCATGGATACAGTAGAACATGCACACATATGGGAATAACAGAAGAGGAGTTTAAGTTCACAGCTTTGCAAAAGGGACCATAGAGATCCTCATAAAGAGAGAAACACATATGTGACCCTGGATCACAAAACCAGTCTTAAGTCGCTTGGGTATGTTTTTAGCAATAGCCAAAAAAACATCGTAAGGGTCAAAATGATCGATTTTTATTTTATTCCAAAAATCATTAGGATATTAAGTAAAGATCATGTTCCATGAAGATATTTTGTGAATTTCCTATCGTACATATATAAAAACTTAATTTCTGATTAGTAATATGCATTGCTAAGAACTTAATTTGGACAACTTGAAAGGCGATTTTCTCAGTATTTTGATTTTTTTGCACCCTCAGATTCCAGATTTTCAAATAGGTATATCTCGGCCAAATATTGTCCTATCCTAACAAACCATACATCAATGGAAAGCTTATTTATTCAGCCTTCAGATGATGCATAAATCTCAATTTCGAAAAATTGACCCTTATGACTGGTTTTGTGGTCCAGGGTCACATATGGGTGATGGAGCAGACAAAGGTAAAACAATGCTTCCTATTTGAGCTTTACTGCCAGTGCTGCAGTATGTCGTAGCCCCGCCCCAGACTCATGCCATTGGTTGGGATTCTCCTACAAACAAAGTAGTGTTTTGATCGAGCCAGAGATGGAATCAAAGTACAAATGGTTTATTTAGTCCCTGCATCTTATGTTGGGCTAGGAGAGAATTTTAAGATAAAAATGACACATTTCTGCTTTAAAGAAAAAAAAAATGGACCCTTATGACTGGTTTTGTGGTCCAGGGTCACATATGGGTGATGGAGCAGACAAAGGTAAAACAATGCTTCCTATTTGAGCTTTACTGCCAGTGCTGCAGTATGTCGTAGCCCCGCCCCAGACTCATGCCATTGGTTGGGATTCTCCTACAAACAAAGTAGTGTTTTGATCGAGCCAGAGATGGAATCAAAGTACAAATGGTTTATTTAGTCCCTGCATCTTATGTTGGGCTAGGAGAGAATTTTAAGATAAAAATGACACATTTCTGCTTTAAAGAACTGCATCAAAATAAAATGTCCTATATATAGGCATTCCAGGTGGAATACTAGGAATATAGGCCTTGTTGTTATTTCTACACATTTAGCAATGATCAATTTGAGACTAATTCCCATCTCTGAATGGAAGCATCACCTCTGTCCTGATTAAAATAATGGTATAAAAATTCACACAAAGGCTGAACAAATTAATAAACACAATGTAACATAAAATGAGCATGTGTATGATAAACAGATTGCACAGTTCTGACATGGTGCACTATCATTAATTACATTATAATTATCATTAACAGATCAATCAATACTCCATTTGGAATATTAACTGAACATATGACACCTAAGGCAAAATCAACAGCTCATTTAAGAGCCGTCATGTGAGCAAATTTAAAGATTAAGCTTATTTAGGTAGTAAAGATTCCTGATGGCACTAAAGGTAACCATAAGAGCAGAGGCAGAAAACTGAACTGAATGTGGTGGATATTAGCAAACAGTCAACAAAATTGATTAATTGGACTATTGGTGTCAGTCCATAACTATGGCCACCAAAAAAGTTTTATCATTAGTATTCCCTTTGCGTCAGGTCCAAAATCTATCAACAGCCTTGTTAAAGGATAACAAACATTTTCTATTTTATGTGAAAATCATTAAAGGAATAGCGGATTTGTTTTTTTACAAACATGCAGTTTTTTTGCTTCACAAGATGTTAATTGTTGGACTGGAAATTACTTGTGGATTATTGTGATGTAGTCACCCATTCACTGCAGAGGATTCATTGGTGAGCAAGTGATGTAATGCTAAATTTATCTAAATCTGTTATGACTAAGAAACAAACTTCTCTTCATTTTGGTGAGTAAATGTTCAGCAAATTTTCATTTTTGGGTGAACTATTCCTCTAAATCAATTATTTATGTATATATATATCCACATTACATCAGCCATCCTGCTGTCTAGATTGCGCAATACGTCTGATTGTTTCCCTGTCATCTCTGAAAGATATGTTGAGGTATTTAACATAGTTTCGAAGAACAAATGTGTGTGTTTATGCACATGACCAAAACAGGTATTAGTCACCTGACACACAGAGATCCAAGATGTAGGGATTACTAATTTCATGCACAGCTTCATGAACTGCATGGAAGCTATGGGGAAATGGTCATGACTAGCAACAGAATGATATATCGATCAGGCTAATTAATTGTCCGATATTTGGTCATTTTGAGGCTATTGGCACTAGCTACTGGCACTCCAATTACCATTAACATAAATGTTAACGCTTCCTTCTGTCAGTACAAAAATCCACCGACAGCTTTGTCAATGGACAGTTTCGGTTTTAAAAACATAAATTATACAGTGAAGGTCAAGTCTGAGGCCACACTGAAAATTTGGGATTCTACATGTAATTTCAACCTAGAAATAAACAGAATGCTTTAGAATAATAAAAACGTTTAAAGGTGACATATCATGAAAATCAGACTTTTCCAGGTTTTAAGTGCTATAATCAGGTCCCCGGTGCATCTAC